GGATGGATGAGTGGATGGGTGGGTGGATGATGGATGGATGGAAATGGATGGATGGGTAGATGGATGGATGAGTGGATGGGTGGGTGGATGATGGATGAATGGATGGATGAGTGGATGGGTGGGTGGATGATGGATCGATGGATGATGGATGGGTGGGTGGATAAATGGATGGAAAGCCCATTGTGTACTAGGTCCTGCATTAGGTGACAGAAAAAAAATTCATCGCTAATCTTCAACACGGTCCTCAGAAGAAGGAACCAAGATCCTCATCTTACCGACCATGAAGTTGAAGCACAAGCCCATGGCCCCCCAGCAGAGCTAAGAGGGAAAAGAACGCAGCACAGAGAGTGGTCTTACGTTACCTCGTCTCCCTTCAACCACGTGGCAACGGGCGGGGGCTCCCCTGTGATGGACACATCCAGTCTCAGCTTGTTTCCGGCCACAACCACAATGGAGTTCTCTGAGGTCTTCCCCGAGCAGTCCAGGTGGATCTTTGGTGGCTCTGGGAGGCAGAGAGGCAATACTGAGGATGGAAGGGTAGGTGTCTTGGGCCCTCCCCATCTCCCACCAGGGATTCCTCCTCACAAGCTGGGTTCCAACAACCACCAAAAAAAATCCAGAAGTCCAAGACCCAACTTCCTCATCTCTGGAGACCCACGAGTCTAGCTCCCCGCCTAAACTCAGGAGTCCGAGGTCCTGGTATTCTCCTCCTCCTCCTCCTCCTCCTCCTCAGTCACAAGATTCCAGAATTCCAAGCCCCTCCTCCCTCAGACCCCCAAAGGTGGGCTTCTAACACCCTCTTCTCTCAACAAGGAGACTCGTTTCCCAACCACCTCCTTCCTCAGACCCAGGAGTCCAGGTCCACAGGCCCCTCCTCCCTCAGACCCAGAAGTCCAGGTTCCCAGCTGCCTCCCCTTTCTGATTCAGAATTCCATACTTTCAACCCCCTCCTCCCTCAGCCCCAAGGATCTGGGCTCCCTCACTTAACAGAGCAACGCTTGTCCCTTACCTTGCTTGGGTACATACTCCACTTTAATTTCTGGAAGACAGAAAAAGATTGGGTGGTGAGTTCGAAGCCAGCAAGCCCCTCACCCCAACCTTCACCAGAGTTGGAGGCCTGGGGAACGGGGCTGTTGGAGTGAAGTTCAGACCCACCAATTATACCCTAGTCTCACCTTTGCCCACCACATGGGCAACCTTCAGTGCCTATAGTGCTCTCTCCACCCATTTCTCACCTGACTCCGCCCCCCGAGGGGGACGGACGCTCTCCCTTGACCCCACTGTAGAGGTAGGGAATTTAATCCTGAAAGGAGGCACCAGAAGATCTGGTAGGATGGGTCGTGAGACACACCCCCCCCACCCAACCCCAATGGCCAAAAACAATCCTCACCCAGGAAATTGAGCTTGGCCGAGAGGGACAGGGCATAGCCATCAGGCACGAAGGTGTAGTCCCCTTCATCTTCAGGACGGACATCGTCAATCACCAGCTTGTGGAACCTGGAGGGTGTGGGGGGCAGTGTCGGGGTCAGGCTGGGGAGCCCCACAGAGCCATACTGTTCCAAGCCCTGTGGCCGTTACATAATCTGGTGTCAACGTGAGACTATTAAGAGTGAAGGGGTGGAGTTTAGCCTGTCATTCAGGGTAGCAGCTTGATGACCTCATTTAGAGGCCGTTAAGGAGATAAGTAGTTTGCTGGAGGCGGGACACACAGACTCTCTCTGCGAGGCATTCCTGAGGACAAGCCCCATGGAGCTATGCTGATGGCAGCCAGAGCCCCGGAGCAGGAGGAGCCACGTGGAGACCCACACCAGCGCTGCGATGCTTCCACCGCCACCGAATCCACAAGACTTTCCACCCACTGGCCTGTGATCTTCCTGCATGTGTTGCATGAGTCTGAAGAGGAATGTATGAACTAGTATCGGACATACGGGCTAATATAGGACCTATGGACTTGATCAGGACTGGACTGGGCTGTTTTCTTAATTGCTCTTTGATACAAAGTTCTCTCGAACACACATATGAGCCTCCCCGGATTGGTTTCTTTAGTTCACCCAGACTAGCACAATCCCTTTCCCTCGATGCCATCTAGAAAAACATCATCTACCTCCCTCCAATCTACATGCTTGCCATTTAAAATTCTAGACTTTGGAATGCTGACCCCCTCCTCCACCTCAATGCCTGCTCTGCCACGTATTTAGTTGTGTGACTCAGGGCCGGCGATTAACCTCTTTCTGCCTCAAGCCACGGATGAGAATGTCAGAAACCAATCACGGTCTGATGAGGAACAGCTACGTGGAAGCCCTGACACCCATGCCGGGCATACAGTAGATATCAATACACGTTAGCCTTTCTCCTTCCTCGGGGAGCGAGTTATGTGTTGGGTGGCTCGCTGTGAGGTCAGCCGTTCAAACCCACCAGCTAGGGGAAGGAAGATGAGGTTTCTGCTCCTACAAAGAGCTACGGTCTGTGGGTTCTGCTCTGTCCTCTGGGATCACTAGGAGTCTGAGGTCGATAGTGGCTGGGCATCAGTGGCTGGGGTGGTGGGTTATGCCCTGGGCCATTAGCCTCCGGGTTAGCAGTTCAAATCCGCCAGCTGCTTGGTAGGAGAGCTTTGAGGCAAGCTGCCCCTGCAAAGATAGAGCGCTTCGAGAACCCTCAGGAGCAATTCCACTCCATCCTGTGGGGTCTCTGATGAGTCCGATTTGACTGGATGGCGGTGGGCTTGGCCTGTGAATTCCTAAGATTCACATGAGTGTCCCCCTTCGGCTGGGTTCCCCCAAAATATGTGAGGACGTCCTAGTGCTCTGTGAGAAACAAACTCTGAGGGAAATGGAGTTTTCCCTAGTCTGAGGACTAGATTCCCTAACTTATAACAGGGAATCTGGGAAGCTGGAATTCCACGGTAGGAAAGCCTCCACTTTGGTGAGTTAGAGGTAAAGTCCAAGTACACGATCCTGCTTTAAATATCATTCCCACAGATTCTCCCTTAACAGCTGTGCTGCCTTAAAGTGAGCGCAGGGTTGATTTATCTCCCTCTGGAAGCAGACATCTTTTTGTTCTCTTCCTGCCGTGTCACCCAAACCCCCTTGTAGCTTCCCCCAGGTATTAGGTTTCCTCACCTGTGAGCTCAGGGATCTTACTGTAGATACCACTCACCTTGTGACGCATGTAACTACTGAACATGCATGTCTTAAGTCTACCTGCAAATGTCCCAAGATAGTCAAGGTTCTCCCTCCCTTCTCCCAGTTCCACGTGGACCATCAAGAGGAGCTCAGGTGAGCATGCTACCATGAAATGTGTCTGACTCCATTATTTTACTGTGTCTCCTTATTTTATTCTCTCTCCTATCTTTCTTATCCTCTAGGACAGTGGTTCTCAACCTTCCTCATGCCGCAACCCTTTCAGACAGCTCCTCATGTGGTGGTGACGCCCCAACCATAAAATGATTTTCGTTGCTACTTCATCACTGTCAGTTTGCTACGGTGATGAATCGGGTGACCCCTTTGAAAGGGTCGTTCGACCCCCAAAGGGGTCTCGACCCACAAGTTGAGAACCACTGCTTTATGGCTTTACTATCATCGTTCTAGATCATCGCTGTACAATTGCGCCTACTGGCCCTTCGGGTGTTGGAGGCTGGCTTCCTCCGTCAGTCCTCGCCCCTGGATGGGACCGTGACCTTGTTTAGGTGATGGGGTCCGTCGGTTCAGATGCCAGCAGCAGCGTGAAGGAGCCCCTTCTGGAGTAGGGTGGGTCCTGACCCTAATCCCCTGCGGGACAGCACAGGGGCAGAGTCACGGGCCCAGGGGTGGGAGCGGGGGTGTGGGGGACCGGCGGCCCCGTCGGCCGTCTCCTCACCTCCCTTTGTGGGAGATGGTGATCCTCTTGCTGGGCCGCACCTCGATCCCGTTCTTGTACCACTTGCCCGTCACCTTCTCGTCAGACACCTCGCACTTGAACACGGCCTGCTCGGAGGCCTTCACCGTCAGGTCGGCGATGTCCTGCAGGACCTCCAGCTGCTTCTCTGGAAGGAGACGGGGCTGTGGGGCGGGATGCCC